TGGCTGATCAGCCGTGAAATTTGATTTGTGTACATTTCGATTGCATGTCATACCATCACGTGTAGATTATTGTTTTTGATTCGAGCGTTTACCGGCGGAACGAAAATACTATCTGAAATATCGGTAATAAAAATCGGAAATCGGTAAGAAAATTTATATTGTAATTATAAAACCAACGAACGAAAAGTTACGCTTAATTTTTAAGGAATAATAAAAAAAAAATAATCAACATCTTACTTTCTTCAATTTTTTATCAATAGAAAATTTCTGAGCCTGAATCAATAATAAACACGCCGATGACATAGACCAAACATAATAATCGAGCGACTAAAGTTGCCTAGACGATTTCTCGAACAGCCTTACATTGTCGAGATAAAATAACGAAAATATTGAAGTAACAAAAAAAAAAAAAAAAAACAATTTGTTCCATTAATATTTGCTGAGATACAGAAACTTTTTTGCACAAGTTTAAATACTGTTTTGCTTCGTTCGAAGTATTTTGTGGTGCGCGATCCAAAATTGAAGTCACAAAAGATCAGTAGCCCAGCCAGCACAATCGATATAATTTAAAAACATTTTTACGTAAAAAAAATTATTTCACAAAAGTATTACGCACATTGATACCGTACGTGACATACTTTTTTATTTTATTATTTTCCATTTTATTATACTAGTTATTATTTTCCTAAACACAAAGTTCTCCAACCCGACATGCTGAAAAGTCTATTTGGTGATACATTTGGTATTAAGTCCCATTTCTTTGAAAAATTTACATATTTTTAATTTACATAAATGTTCCCAGAAAAATCCTTAAAAGTCTGTAAAAATAGAATTTAGGTTTTGTTTTTTGTCTATTTTTTGAAGAAATTTAATTACAACTACAATTTTGTTTCTGTTATTACCCTAATGTGTTTCTAACACGTTTGAGCAACGAAGATTGGTAGAAGTGAGCTACATAGTTAATTATTATTAAAGCAGCTTGAAAATAAGTAACAAAAAAACAAATCGATTCATTAGTGTTACTGAAATTTAAGCATTCGTTTTTTTCGAAACGTGTACTTAATCTTTGAATTAATTTCGCATGCTTACCTATTTTCGTGTAGTCAGTAACGCCTTGGAAACTCGTCGACCAATTTTAATTATGCAGGACCTAAAAATTTTGTTTTCTTTACTGTGTAGTGGCTTGGATGAAAAATGTAAGTTTTATAACTTATTAAAAATTTATTATTACGATTAAACAAAAAATTTTTTTTTCCTTTTATAGGTAAAAAAGTTTCAATCCGATTTAATACACCGGTTTATCTTATAATAAATTAATAAAGTTTTTTTTCATCCTGTTACATTATTTTGTTTCTTTTACATCATCAAATTTCAATACTAAGATTTTCAGATTTTCTTGAAAAATAAAAGTCATAATATCAGATAGATACTGAAAAGTTTTAATAATCCAGGGCTTAAATTGTTTCTTTTTGATCCTCGTATTTTTACAAGTAGGAAATTAAATTTTTTCTATTTTTTTCTGAGAAAAGACAAATTTTTGTTGGAATTTTTTTACTTCGGACAATGTTCATTGCATTTTTCGTGAAATAAGTAATTTTTTCGCCAATTTAGTTCCCCCAATACTCGTTTTGTTCGATACCTAATATCAAAAATTTGTAAAAACAGCATTGCTTTCTCGTGTTTCTTGAATTAAGATTACTTTTTGTCGTTGAGATAATCCAAGAAAAAATAAATATCGAGAGCACGATACACAAATTAGCAATAACTTTTAATGTACATAAATGCATTTATTTATACGTATATAGTCTTAAAATGAATTAATTACTGATTTCATCTATAAGATGAGGTATAATTTTTTTAAATTAAAAGATCTGATTGCAAAGCATACCAATTTGTACATTTTAAAGATTATGTCATTCTGTATCAACCTGACCCAAGTTTTAGTGTTAAATTCTTGAAAAAAAAAAAAAAAAAGAAATTCTCACACTTAGAAGCATGGAATGAAAATCGCAAAGTGAAAAAGGACTGCCTATGAAATTATATGATTGCCAATGTCATGATGTAATTAAAAATGGCCTAATAATCATTATTACTTCAAATAAGTCCCTCCAGTTGTAAGATCCAATTTTATCCAACTTATACTTTATAAAAAACCGTAAAAACAGTCTTCATCGAAACAGACAACGTGCCAAAAAAAATCAAAAACCAAAAATTGCGCGCCAATCGACGTCACGGGCCACAATACAATATGGCCCCAAGCTCTCATCGCCCGAGCTCTACATTTCCAAAAATAGCGATGACGTTCTGCTCCTCCTACGCGTGGTGTCACACACGTGCGTTCGAAAGTTTGTCAACAAGGTATTTGTTCAGCATCTTGTGTGTTTTTTTATCTTTTCTGCAGCGTAATTAAAAAACCATCGACGGGCAGCTTATCTTATGGTTTTTAAATGCAACGTGAGTACAATAACCCACTATTTTTCTAAATTTCATGTAAATAATTGGATTTTACCGATAAAAACTATTCAACAAATTTAAAAATTAATTATAAAAAATTTAAATATTAAAAATTTTTTCCAACAATTTACACATGCTTTTTATCATTTTTTGAAAATTTTTACATAAATGAACTATACTTAACTATTTACATAATCGAAAGCGATTAATGATTTGCTGGTGTGTCTAGTGATAGTATTATCTGCTATCTAATCGTAATTATTGCCTCGAATTTCACTTGCAACATGAACAGTTAATAATTTGGATAATACAGTGATCAACGTTACAGTGCAGAACAAAAATGTTTTTTGATAATATTCCTGTGGAGTAAATATAAATAATAGTTTAAAGGATGTCTTAATTAAACAATGACATAATGATAAAATTTTTGTTTTCAGAATGTCACCCCCAAAAGCAAGAAAAAGTATAACAAGTCTTTGGATGACGTGCGACAGATGCCAAGCTATTTTATCACAAAGGGACACTGCAGTCCACGAAAAAAATTGTCCACCCACGGAGCCATTTGACCATGAATTCATCAAAAATGGTGTCTTGCACAGCAATATAGAAGCATATAAATCCACAGGTTGAAGTGGTAAAATTTTTTTTTCTCTAGTCTTTGTCAAAAATATTTGAACTGTGGATTTTCAGAATTTCCAAAACATGTCAGCCAAAGAGATACGAACTACATGGTGTTCTTGTCCGAGTCTGCAATGCAATTGTGTGAAATTCCCATTGGCAATCCAGTGCTCGTTACCAATAAAGATAACGTAGTTGTCAAAACAGCGTGGCCTTTGAATGACAAAACCTTGACCACAGTCTGTTTGACGAAAAATGGTGACCTTTTTTTTACCACTCCAAAGCTCTTTAGCTAAAAAGTACATAGATTTTATTATGATTAAACCAATGTTTCAGCCATGGAGCTCGACAAAATTGAAGGACCAGCAAAACTGGAAAGGCTCAAATCAAGTCCCTTTGTGGCCAACGAAATATTCATCGAACCCATTGGAAAGAACTGTATAGAAAGCATGACGACGGAACTAAATGTAATGATAAAAAATTACAACCACGACAAAATACTGGCCATTGGTAACAGAATAAGCATTCCATACTACGGGAAGAAGTTGATTTACAAAATAACAAACGTCGAGACCGACGAAGGATTGTCGGATCAGCTTTCGAGGATGAATATCACCCAAGGCCACAGTCCACACAAGAATGTGTTCATCGCTCGATACTCAACCAGGTGGACCATTGACACAAGTGAGAAGGAAAGGAAGACACTAAAGCAAAACAAACACAGGCTGGAGTGCGTTGGTGGCTACAAGAGCCTGATAAAAGACTTGATCGACGTTCTCAGCATCGGACTCGGCAAACACGGCAACCTGCAGGATTTCCACATAAGCCGGGGCGTTCTGCTGTGCGGTCCCCCAGGTGTGGGCAAATCTATGCTCTCCGAGGCTCTCTTGGCAGAGCTCAGAGCCTTTGTCGTCAGCCTCAGCTCTTCCGACGTTCACAGCAAAAGCTCCAAAGACGCGGAAGCCGTGCTTACCTCAAAGTTCAACGAAGCCTTTGAAAACGAGCCGTCCATCATCTTTATTGAAGACATTGACAACTTGTGCCCCAAGAAAAACACCTCCGCGACTGACAGCGAGAGACGAGTGCTGGTAGCTCTGTCAATGCTCTTCGATAGCTTGCAAAATCACGAGAACGTCGTGGTTCTGGCGGTGACCTCGAAACCGGACTTGCTTGACGCATCTCTGAGGCGACCCGGTCGCATAGACAAGGAGTTCGAGATGCCGGTACCCACGAGCCAAATACGCAGGGAGATCATTCTGAAGATTATCGAGAAAATGCCCCACAGCCTCAGCCCAGGCGACGTGGACGACATCGCCTACGACACCCACGGTTTCGTGGGGGCAGATTTGCACGGGCTGGCTTCCCAGGCAGCGATGAAGGCCATCAAAAGGAAAATCCACTCGCCGGAGACCGACGCCGAGGTGATGGTCAGCAGGGGCGACTTTGACTACGCGCTCACCGTCGTCGGTCCGTCAGCGATCAAGGAGGTCCTGATCGACGTCCCCAACGTCAAGTGGTCCGACATCGGAGGCATGGAAAACCTCAAGCTTAAACTCAAGCAGTCGGTCGAGTGGCCCTTAAAACACGCCGATAGCTTCAAGACCATCGGCATCGCGCCACCAAGGGGCGTTTTGCTGTACGGGCCTCCCGGATGCTCCAAGACGATGATCGCCAAGGCCCTGGCTACAGAGAGCAAATTAAACTTTTTGAACATCAAGGTAAGTGTCGTTTTATGGAACCAAGTTACCGATGGAGATGATCGTTTGTTCATGAATTTTTTTGTTACTTTTCAGGGACCAGAGCTGTTTTCCAAGTGGGTGGGCGACTCGGAGAAGGCTGTGAGGGACCTTTTCAAAAAGGCGCGGCAAGTGGCTCCGTCGATCATTTTCATCGACGAGATCGACGCCTTGGGCGGGGAAAGAAGTACCTCCTCCAAAAGTGGAGGTAACAGCGTGCAGGAGAGAGTTTTGACGCAACTGCTGACGGAACTCGATGGCGTGACGTCCCGAGGAAACGTCACCTTGGTGGCCGCTACAAATCGACCGGACAGAATAGACAAGGTATTTATTTATTTATTTTTTTTCATAGTAAAAATGGAATATACTCGTAAAGGTAGTGATGTTAACTTGATCGTTATGAATAGGCTCTGCTTCGACCTGGGCGTTTCGACAGGCTGATTTACGTTCCTCTGCCAGACTCGTTCACTCGCCAGAAAATATTCGAGGTGTACTTCCGAAAAATGGCTGTTAGCAAAGAGGTGGACGTTAACGATTTGGTCTATCTGACGGATGGTTACTCTGGCGCGGAAATACAAGCGATTTGCAACGAGGCCGGCATGAAGGCTCTCGAGGATAATGTCAACGCCAAAGAAATCACCAAAGAGCACTTTGCCGCAGCTCTGACTCTGGTGAACCCGAGAACACACCCAGATTTACTCAGGATTTACGAGTGCTTTGAGAGAAATAAAAATTCTTAGCTAGCAGTTCTGCAGTAAATCCAGCAGGAATTTCGTGGAACGTCCTGCATGGTGAAACTGAAGGGCTCCAATAGTTTATCAGAACATGGTAATACATCATTGACAGAGACGCCACAAATACCCTGTAGTATTTACAGAGGAAACTTTGATGTAGGCTAGGATAAAGGGTCCAAACTAAGATTTTCATACAAATAGGTTTAATGCGATTTTTACTTTTGTGCAAAATACTATTAATAAAAATTAGGTGCTATTCACACGCAGGGCTTGTTATAATTTACAGTAAGTGATATAAACATAAGAGTACTACTTCAATTGTTTAAGGCTCAAAGATGAGCTCGGTGAATGTGTACATTTTCCCTGAAGTTTGTTGCAGACGTGCCTTTTGAAACAAAAGTCAATAAAATTTCTGTACATACACCCTAAACGCGGTATTCATTGCATTTTCTCGTCTTACACAAGTAAATTTCAGAGTTGTCCCTAAAAAAATGTCCGTGTTGGTGAAAGACCCCACCCGCGTGGTAAGAACTTGCTGCCTGCAACAAAAAAACTACAAGTACGAAACGTCCTCCCTCCCGATTTGCCAACCATCAAACCAAATTCTCGAAATCTCAATCGCATATTCGTCTTCCGCAGTTGCGAGACGGTGACGAATCATTGTCCCACGGTGTATTTTTCCTGCCCCAGCTGTTGCCGAAGCATCACACCGTTCAGATTGCCATCGAGACCAAGAGATGAATTCTCCAACACCCCCACGAACACGAGGATCTGCTTCGTCCACTCCAATTGCCACGGGAACCGCACCAGAAAAGAATCATGCTGAAACAAATTGTCCTCGAGCCGATGCTCGATTGTTTTCCTCCAATGCATATAAATAGACCGACCGAGAAAGATTCATCCACAGTTTGACCCGAACCTCTTTGAGCTTCCAAATTTTCAGTGCCCATACTCATCAGAAGTAAGAAAAGAAGTAAGAAAATCGACCCCAATTAACAGTTGGAGAGAAAAATAGTAAAAACCATGTCGGTGACGGTGAAGTGCGTGAAAAAACCCGATCCCGAGTGCAAGGTCGTGATCAACAGGTAACCAAAAAGCCTTGAACTACCATATATCTAAACAATCAAAGCGTCCAAGACAATCGCTCTCCTTTTGGTGCAGATCCAACTGCTGGCCCCCGTGTCCATCCCCCGCAGCCCTGTGCTCTCCGTGCCCCCAAACGTGAGTAATGGATTCATTTTTTTTTTTCTCCCCACGTACATTTCAAGACGAATTGATGATGTACGCGTGTATCACCCGCAGGAGTTGCACGCCTTGCTGCCCGCCGTGTCCGACGACGGCTCTGGTGCGCTGCGCCGTGGTCCAGGGTGGTGTCCTCTGGCAGGGGATCGCCAGCGTGCCCTGCAGCCCCTGCTGTCCCCCTGCCGCCTGCTGCTACTATTGTCCTGATTAATTTAGAGCCAATCACTTCCCCAAACACGATGTCACTTCAATAAACTTTCGACTTTTTCACTAGAGAGAGATAAGCGTCGTTTTATTTTTCCACAAATTTGTATTTTGAAAAATTTTCGCGCGCCTCGGCAACTGGACCAATCAGCTTTCACAAGAGTGCAGGAGGGGGGGATCAGCCCACGTGTTCGCGTCTGTCGTGTGCTGTGCAGCACGTTTGTTTACATTCGGTACTGTGGTGGTTTGTTTTTGACATGTCCAGTTATTGCGGCATAACAAGAGAGAAAAGCGTAAAAAATGGAAGCCTTGTGGAATCAAGTCAACTTGCAAGCGCCGCCCTACAGGCCCTGGGACGTTTCGATCACCGAGTTTGGTCAGTGTTTTATCGTGTGCTCATAACCTACTTTCAAATCACAGGATATTTGGTAGTTTGTTCAAGCAATTTGATTTACAACTTTTCGTTGTTTAGATCCAAAGGGTTTCCTTGACACGATAAACCGTGTTTTGTGCGACTTCAAGACGTTCAGTGCACTCCATGCGGAAGCTGCACTCCTCAGCAGATTGATTTATCGCATGAAAAGTAAATTCAGAAGCGACAAGGGACTGAAGCACATGGAAAAGGTCAACAGAGCTCTGTTAAATTACTTGAACATGTCGCTGCACAAGGATTACGAGATATTGCAAAAATACACAGAAATCAACAATGGGATCGTCAGTTTGCCATCGAGACAGACTCTGGAGTATGTGTTAGTGAGGACGCAAGGTTTTGCCAAGCTCATGTGTCGCGTGGAATCAATGGCAGTGACTGCAGCAAGTATCCTCCAGTCCAGGCTGTACATCGGCCAGTCTTGGACCGTTGCTATGATTGCTTTTGCAGTTATTAGCAGGATATGGTATTTTACCATCCTTCATTTCTTGCAAAATAATAATTTTAAGCAATTGTCCATGATCAAAATATTACTGTTTTATGATTGAAGGATTTTATCAAGACACATGGTAAGAAAGTCATGTACCTGGTACGACGACATTTACAAGTTTGCCAAAAGTTTCAAAATTGTGGGAATATCATGGCTACCAGATAAACATGTACTACCAAAAAAGCTCTCAAAATGGTTGAATATACCCTGGTTGAGTGAAAACTTTGACACGTAGGTCGCTTGTTTTGTTTCAATCTTTATTTGTATTGTTACATATAAAAAATTTACTTTCGTTTTAGCATGCCTTTACACGAAGAAAACTGGAGTGACTCAATTTTCAATTTAATCCAAGTAAATACTGAGACTGAACCCACTGAGGTGAATTCCATCAATAGTGCAATTGACAAAGCTATGAAAGACGAATTGAAAGAATCTGTGATGCTAAAAAGCAGTTTGACTTCTGCAGAAAAAACTAAAATCAAAGATTTAGGACGTAAGTCGACTCATTATCATTAAGGCCTTATTCATTTTTTAAATGTATCAACTGCTTTTCAGAGTCGATATCTCGCAAAAGCTTTGAGAAAATTCAGCAAAAATCCACTGTCAACGGGAGGCGAGGAGAGAAAAAGAAAACCAAAACTGACAACAATACTAAAAATGAAAAAAAGCCAGCCCTTCTTGACTTGAAATCTGAAAAAGATTTAGTTAGTTTACTGACAGCCGACAGTTTTCCTGGGCTAGATAAATTAAAGTGGAATATATTGAAGAAGCAAACAAAAAAGCTGATTCTCAAGTTGACAAACAACAATACCCAAGAGGTGGATAAAAAATTATGTAAAAAAGTAGCAAGACGCATTGAAAACTGGATAAGTTCTCACTGACACTGTACATATACTGTAAATAAAATAAAAAATTGTTTGATCGTAAATTATTGATGTTTTTCATTATGTGGCAGTGATTAAAAATAACTCAGTGATTTGAAATTCACACCGCATCTCAAAATCTCAATCACTTCCAAGCGTGTGCTGCCCTCTTCATCTACTTTCATCACGAGACTGGACCGCAGGACTTGAATAAAAATGAGATATTTAGAAATTTTTTAAAAATTAGACTCTACGTGTTAAAAATTTCATCAGTACGCTAATATACATTTTCTCATTTTTTTTTTTTTTTTTTTTTTTTTTTTTTTTTATAAGTAAGGTAAATAAATAAAGAAACTTAATAAGTATGTGAAAAGTAAAGATAAGAGAGACAATAAAAAATAATTGGCCAATTTGCAGGTGGAATTATTGCTACTAAGACTCGTAAGTCTTTTAACAAGCGTCAATGTAAAATCACGCGATTGTAATTTAGATCTCACGGTGAATTATTCGTATTTCTAGATCCACTCGTCTCAGCTTTTTGTAAAAAATTGTTGTGCTTTCATAATTTTTTGGTTAATTAACGAAAGAGGCGTAATTAATACACGTCGAGAATAATTTTACGCACCACGAGCATTTAAATTTACCACGACAACGCATGTGTTTTAATAAACGAATACGTATGTATCATTAAGTTTGTATAATTTAACAGCGAATGCATCTACTAAATTTGAGACATTACGACTCAGCGTTGAAAATAATTTGCAACTAAATTTTTTTTTTTCTTTTTCTTTTCTCAAGGCGACTTAACCGTGGATTTTCATAACATTTAACCCGTTAGAAAAAATTAGCTTCCTCCATTATTTATTATACAACCCATTATTCCTTTTGAAATTATGTGCACAGAAATTTTTTTTTTAATTCGAGTGGTATTTATTTTGTATGACTTCAAAATTGTAGTACTTCAACATTAGATAATTTTTTTTATAGCATCAAGAAAATTATAATTATTGATGATTAAAAAAAAAAACTCTGAAAATGTCGCGTACTAAAAACATTTATGGAAGTATTTCGTAAAAACAAATTTTTTGTTTTTATGCGATTGTCAGAAAAATGTTTTGAAAATAATTACTTGGTATAAGTTTTTACCACTACTATTATAACGTAAATTACCAAGTACAGCACAGATGTATGATATAATGATATCGATTTCATTATTTATTTAAAAAATCCTGAAAAATGATTACAACACGAGTATGAACATAGAAATGGCAGTATTTGGGAAATCTCCAATATTTTTTATAATTATATTACATTTTTATTCAGCTCATGGATTAATTTGTTTATTAAATCAAATACGATGATTAAATGAAGTATTATTATTGCGTTTGAAGTGAATTTCATACGAAACACTTTAATAAATTTTTGTAAAAATTTGGAGTTTTGTACTTGAATTGTTCCGTTTTACATACAATATGTTTTGATTGTACTTAGTCGAAAGCAATGCTTTAAAATAAAAAAATTTAGTTGCTATAAAACTGTAATGAAATTGTATTTTATCGAACTTTTTTGAAACAAATCATCAAATTCTTTAGTGATTGATTCAAGTAGTGAAAACCAATTTAAAATTACAGTCTCTATTATTCATTGAAATAGTTTATCAAACTCAGCTGTGCTTGATAATTTACTTCAATTACTGTCGTCAATAAAAAACATTGATTAAATGTATGTTTCATTTACTTTCATCCAATAAAAAATGTATTTGATGGTTCATTCGAAATAATTCAAATAAAATAACTTTATCTATAATTCTAGAGAAAGTTAATCAAACTCGGTTAGATTAATTGATTCTAGACCAAATAAAACTATTTCATTTGGCACATCGCGTTTGAAATAAACCAAAAAATTATTTCATAGCTCTTCGCAATGCACTTGAAACAATACCTCTTGCATTCGACCAAATATTAATGTCCCTTCCGACGCACACCAACAAGTACTAATAATTATAACGAGCGAGTATGACTAATCCCCAAAGACAGAAACGAACGCCAGCCAGTTTATATACGCCAGTTCATCCCCTTTTTCCCTCTCGAGTGGCTCAAAAGCTATTTCGAGAAACTCGTTTCTCTGTGTATAGGGAAAAACAAAAAATGCAGATATATATTGTATACCTATACACCCGCAGTACTAGTCTCTCGAGCTGTGTACAGTCCCACTCGTTTTTTTCCCTTAATCATAGACCGCAGCGTTTGCTAGGACGCAGGACCGGTTTCTCTATCTTCCTGCAACCAAGAGGTGTGAGGAGAGAGAGACGCATCCCGGGCACATTATATACCAAGGATGCGCGAGTCCGAAAAAAAAAAAAAAAAAAAAAGTCGAGCGATTCATATCTGCACTCTCACTCGCGGAATGCCGATTTTTACGAGGACGGGGAAAAAAGGACTTTTCGTTTTTCAACGGGAACATGTTACAAGAAAGACTAGTTTTTTTTTTCTTCTCTCAGCATCGTGTTTTTTTTTTTTTCCTTATTTTATTTGTTTTTGGTATATTTCGCGCGACACTCGTCCGTCACAATCCAAATGCTGTGAAATTCGTAGAAAAGTTAACAAGAACAACCATAACAACATTAACAACAACAACAGTATAGACACACGTGTATATATATATATATATAATTCATCTTTTTTTCTCTTTCTCAACGACATAATGTATATAATTAATTACAAGCTACTCATCACCTCACTATATGTATAAGTTACGCGTAAAGGATATTCATACACCTAATTAAATAATATATGATACACGTTTTTCTTATATGTACATACTGTATGATTATCCTACTCGATATCACTTTTCGAGAGACAATCGCGCATTATCGCCTTGTCAGATATGAAAATCAGTAGTAGTAACAATATTAATAATAATAATAATAATAATACACATCGATGTAATAATAGTATAGTGACGATGGAAAATCGGCCTGCAAATATAATTGCCTAAAATCCTAAACAAAGTGGCTCTTGACGAGCCGGCCGATCAGGTGTAGCGCCCGGAAGGTCTTGTTCGGCCTGAGGCGTTGGCGCAGCAAGTAGTAGGTAAGGGCCCGGAGCAGCAGCAGGATCGCGAGCAGTGCCAGGAAATCGACCCAAAAGACGGCGTGAGTCATACCTGAGGAGGAAAATTGTTCATTTTTTTTTTTTTTTTTCAAGTGAAAGGGTAAAAAGTCCCGCGGACGTGGTCCTACCCATGGCTCTGAGCAGCTGGCGTGGCACGCTGTAGTGGCAATAGAACAAGTCCTCTCCTTCGGGACAGGGTAGCTTGTTGCGGTTGTAGCCGTAGGTCGAGACTATCAGGCCCTCGAGCCCGTAGCGGATGTAGCTCGCGTACATGATTATTTGACGGTAGATCGGTAACGGCGTCTCGTCGCCAATTCCCTGCACCGCGAACAGCATCAGCGGCACCGTCATCGCCGGCCCCACGAACATGCCGTTCTGGAATCAAAGGGTTTTTTTTTTTTTTTTTTTTTTTGCGGAACGGAAATCATACCATTAGCTGTAGTCGTGCTGTTTGTGGCGCGGCGATTTTGTAAATTAAGTTATGGGTACATAGGTATACCTACGTTGCGCAGAGAGAGAAAAAAATAATGAAAGTTGTAGGAAAATTCCAGCAAAAATTACCAGTCTGTATAGTAAATCCGATGAAAAATAAATTTTTATTTTTAATAGTAAATATTATTGCTTAACAATTAAAATCATGGTTTGAAAAGTAAACCTTAAAAGTATCGGTAAATTAATTTTACTTTCTCGCATAGAAATTTTTACTGTTTTAACCATAATTTTTACTATTCAAGCCATAACTTTTACTGATAAAACAATAACCTTTACTATTAAAAATAACAAATTTGTGTTTCATCGGATTTACTATGCAGAATGGTAATTTTTGCTGGCATTTCTCTATAATTTTTATTATTTTTTTCTCTTAGTGTGGTCATTGTTGTTTAGCAAAGGTGTTGTTTAAAAAAAAAAAAAATTGTTTACGATGATGTGTTTGAAGATTACGTCAATGGATTAAACGTTTAATTCTAGTTTGACAAAAAAAAACATCAAATTTAAAATGTGTTTTATAGGCGCTAATTAGGAAAAATTTCCAGTGTTACGTGACCTTTAAAAAAACGTCGAGAGCAAAGCTCAAAAAAGTTTTTGGTTCTGAATAAAAGAAGTTTGGAATAAACGTTTTAAAAAAGTTGAATATATCGGTTATTTTTTTTATTTTGTCAACAATTACATGATCCTTAATGCGTTACTTTCCGAGTAAAATTTCGTATCCTTTGGACGACATTTGAAGCGAGGACCCAAAGCTATTTTATATGGATTTATGAATATTATTTGAATTAAAAAAGTATCTTATCATTGATAAAAACGAAAATAAAATAACTTAAGCCCTTATTTCCGGTATTGCGTTATCCACACGGAAAAAAAATTTGGTTGAATTTGATTGAACCAACGAAAATTTGGTTTGAAACGTTGTGTGTTAATAGGAGAAAAATATAATAAAAATCGATGTAAATTGCTTCGATACTTGAAAAAAAGCATCGATGACTACACAAAAATAAAAAATAAAAAATTACAGGGGTCCAGTATATGATTAGAAAAAAAAAGTGAGCGTATACGCACCACGATGCTGAGCGTGCTAGCGATGGCCAAGCCCATACTTTCAGCAATCAGAGAGCAAACCATGCACGTGCTTATGAACATTATGCACCTGTAGAGCTCCATCGGTTGATTGGTGATCGGGTAGACCATCGACAAGTAGAGGAAGCACAGGAGCAGCTGGAAAATGAATTGCGACAATCATTTTGATGATGGTACATTTTTTTGCAGATCGCATTATGTGTGGTTGTCTGTAGATGATAGATTGTCTGTCTTATATTTTTTTAATTTAAAAAAAAAAAAAATGGCCCGTATAAGTGACTCCCAAGTCAGTTGCGTGTTTGGTAGATACATTTTTGTTGAAATCTTTGAATAGATTTTTGGTATGTATTAGTATTGATCGTCTTAAATACAGATATAAAATTTTAGTTGATAATAATATTTGAATGACGAAAAAATTTTAGGATTATTTTGCGTGATTCATTCGTAAATGTCAGCAGATAAGGTGCAACTGTAGTAAATGTGTGTCTGTATGGATGACCGAGAATCTATACGTTTTATAGGACCTCAGTTTGATTTGGATGGAAAATTATTCTATCTCTTTTCGATTTACTTGTTAATAAAAATGTCAAAGTACTATTCTTCGAAAATAAATTTTTTCTTTTTTCGTATTTAGAAACTCTTTTCCAGAGATCTTTCAGACTTAAAGAAAATTAACAAGAAAAATTTTTGTGTATTTTTACCTAAATTATATTAGATGATTTGGAAATTCTCACTTTAGATTTTATTAGTAATTTAGAATTAAGTATTGCACAATCTCATACGTAATACAAATTAAAAAAATTTTTTTTTAAATATGGTGACGTTACGAAAGTCGAGAGTCTCTACAATACTACACCTATACTGATCTAGTTCTCGAAGAGTTCAAATCAGCGTAAAAAGCATCAATTATATATGAAATTAAGATAAACGAGTTTTACAGAGGCTTACAATTTTGATCCAATTGATCATTGTCGTAGTAGTTTTAGATATTATAAAAATAATTTCAAGCACAACAAAATACACATACCTTTGAAGGGAGCTTACGTTTCAATGAATAGTTTTCATGATTCATTAAAATTTTTAAGATACATCACATTAAAGTGCATAGTGTACTTGAGACACCCATAGCTCGATTTTGCCACATTATCAGAGTCCAGTAACCGTCATAGCATTGGAGTGGGGGAGGGGGGAGTCAGGTGAGATAGTCTTTCTAACAAAATAATCGTCCCGGCATAACTTGCTGGTGACTCGTTCCTATAATATTTATAAATACCATCGATATCTTTCGCTAAAAACTTAACTCATTCAAAATTCTTATGATCATTGTACGTGCGATATTAAAGAAGCAAGTACATTTTTTTTTAAGTACGTCAACTATAAGGTATGCAAACACACTTCATTAATGATATTAATTTTTCCATCTATATAAGAACGCACTCGGCCAAAAATCTGTCAGTCGTCAGGAAATATTATAAGTCGAAAAAGCTAGTAACAAAGTAGTGCTACCATGATTTTCAAATTACCAATTACACTGGGATTAGCGCTATTTCTGATCTTTAGAACAGGATATGGTAACCCCGTGGGGCCGTCATCACTGATGAGACGAGAGGAGATAGGGATGCTTTTAAAAACCTTAGTTGCAATTAAAGCAACCGACAATTTCATGAAGAACCTAGCTGGCGTCGTGTCATCGGTTGAAGAAGATGTTAAAAAATTATCGGCAATAGACGGATCGTCAGGGTATGACGAAAAGCTAGAAGAATTTTTGACGAAGGGCGCTGTTGGATTGTTGGTACGCAAGAAGGAGTCGACAGTGCCGGCCACAGGATTTTCCGGACCGTTGCCAAGTGTAGTCAGTGGTGGTAATCTAACATCGGTGACAGCACTTACCGATGATGAGTTTGAAAACTCACAGTCATATCTGAATTCTACACTTATAGGTACATCCAGTAATAAATTAGAGTTAAAAATAAAGTGTGAGCACTGAAGCAGGCAGCGATTACAGAAGCAAGTCATGGTTTTGGGTACAACTTTTTAGTTATTTTACAACATTCAGAAATTTTGTATATGCTATGGAAGTATCCATTTCTATATTCGCACTTTTAATTTGATTGAGATATTTTTATTCATTATAATTTTTTTTTAAACATAATTAAAAGTACTTTTTTCAATGTGTTTCATACTCATTTCTAGTAAAATTAATGTTTTGATCATGTTTGTTTATGTAGAACAGTTAAAGTGTAAGAGTAAATTCTTGTTTTAATCCGTATATTTTATTGCCTTCCTTAAGTTTTGAGGTTTTTTACTACAGACATATTTATATTTATCATGTAATAAAAGCGTAAAATTAATAATATTGGTTATTAATATGAAATCGTTATTTAAAAAAAATGTACATTAAATTGTTATGTATTAATTACTAAATTAATATATGTACTAACATAGATTTTGAACTAAATGAAAAACAAATATTTAAAGTGATGTCAAACAAGTGGTTACTTAATGTTCCAAAGTTTCCAAATTTTATTATATAGGTTTTTAATTATACACTCGATAATTCCAGTATGGCTTAACATATACATTTACATAATAAAAGTTACACGAAGAGAATCTTTACTTTAAATTTTCTTTCTAACAAGCGTAATTATCATTTGTTTTTATATCATTTATTTTAATGTAATTATTCAGCCATTCAAGTGATAAGATTAATATTTTAATTTATAAATTAACATAATCCCGTCACAACAGTTACGATAACTATACTCTGGAATGAACTTTAAACTTCTGATCCAATGTTTTGACACCCAACAATAACTCAACTTTTGAAACTTTACTATCTTATTTCTTACAATGTTATCATTTCACTTTATTTTTTTTTCTGTTTAATTAAAGAAAGTAACCGTGTATGTATGAAAAAAAAAAAATTAGCGATAACTGCTAGTTAGACCAACCTGCGCCGGAATGCTGGAAACTGTGAGAGCACAGAAATACGGACTCAAGTCGTACCAGCGATTGAAGTACTCGCGCTTGACTAGCTGAACCTCCTGGGGATCTGTAATAAATCGGTATAAACAATGTGCAAGGAACGTCGAAGTGCGTAGTGATCCAGTGATACAAAGAATTTTTACTAGTCGAAATCGTATCAATAGCTAATAAGGACCATTACCAGGACAAATATTAAACAGTTATATGTAAAATAAAACTAAAGTCATCGGTAACAGTGAAATGCAGTTTTTGAAATTAATACGTTATTTTTTATGACAATTTTAATTTAAAATTAACTTGTTTTGATTTCGTGCCATTAATTAAACTTTTTAAACCAACTTATAAAATTATTTCAACCCAAAATATTAATTTTTTCTCTGCAGAAATGAAAAGTAAATAATAAACAATAGGTTTTACTTTACAACTTTATGCGAGTCTCATTTTACACGAATTAAAAAGAAAGAAACGTATATTTTGAGCCATTAACTCGGTGCTTGTTTTATGAATTCAAAAAACTAAGCATACACTCCAATACGTGGTACACTTCAATTAAACTCTGCCGATTTCCTCGAAAACCATATACTGTGAATGCATGGATGGCACGAATATAGTATTTTGATAAACCTATGTAGGTGTATTATATGCAAAAAAAGAAAAAAAAAACTCACAGTGTAACAAAACGGGCAGCATCGGTATGTAGAGAAAGACGATGAGGCAAGTGAAGCAGAAGCCAAAGTTGAAAAGCGTCTTGGAGCCATCGTTACCGATATCAAAAAACAGCCCACCGATGATTATGCCCAGGAATATGTGGAGCGAGATTTTCAGGTACATGTAATTCTGAAAACGATACAACACACAATCCTTTGTAAAGTTGTTACACACACAGTAACCGCGTATTTATTTCGGGATCGGTAACAAGAGGGAGCACCGTTAGTCGCGCTCGGCGATTTCGTCCGCACGCGAGTCGATCTGTAAAACGATACGAAAAATAATAGGTGCCGGCCGGAGTTGTAACACACATCGATCGGTATCGCGAATCGTCGGCCGTTGCAACAACAATACAAGTGTCCACGGTTGTTCTGAAACGAGGTCCACAGCGAATGATGTACACGCGGAGGCTTACCCTATCACGGTAGAACTGGAGCATTTTCCTGCGATAGAGAGCCATGAATTGTTCCCACCAGGCGATCTTGACGACCTCTTTGGCTGTTGTCGTCCTCGGCGAGTGGTGCCTTGGCTTTTGTTGCTGGTGGCCGTTGGTGATCGGTAGGAGTGGTAAGCGCGCGTCCGTTTTCTGGACCATCTTGTCGACGAGTTCATGTCCGTACTCGCCTGCCGATAACTCCAGGACTTGAGTGGTGCGGCCGCAGAAAGAAAGAAGAAATCGTTCATTAGCTTTTTTTTTTTTTTTTTTAGGTACGCTGTGCTGTATTATATGACAAGGTGCAAGAAAAGTTGTGAAAATGTCTTTTCGATCCTATAATGTAAGGGTACTTTATACAAAAAAAGTCAAAGTTGTTGAAAAAGTTTTCAAATATTTCATTTAAAATTTAGAAATATACTTAAAAAAAATATTTTTCCCATGTATTTTATAAAATAAAATGTATTAAGGAAAAAAATGCCACTGAAGTGTTATGTATTTCTACAAAAATGAGTTCTTTTTGTTCTTTGATTTTTTTTTTGCATGAAGTCATATTGACGTTTTAAATGACGTAAGTCGTATATAATTTGATAAAAAATTGTTCGTAAGCACCTAACTCTTTTATTATTAATCTTAAGACAAATTATTAAGAAAAAAAAAATAATATTGTAGATTTAGAGTACATAAATTTTTCTTTAGTAATGAATTTTCTGCATAACACGAGTTCTCTTCCATAAAAATCATTTTAAGTAAGAAATAAAAAAAATCGTTCGACAGCTAATCTTTTATGTTGACATTCTAAGGCAATAAAATAAAACTTTTCGGTTTTTAAGAATTATTACTTCGTGCGATACATTTTTATGTAGTATTATTTTATGCTCTAACGATAGAGAAAATATGCGTGAATCGTACGCAACACATCATAATTTTTTATTATAGTTTTCAATGATGATAATGAATGTTGTAAAATAGAGATATAATAATTACGTAAGCAATCATTATCAAATTCACGTGTTCATTTCACAGTAAAAGTTACCACCCTTTTTTCATCAGCCCCTCATCTTAGGTTTGATCCTTCGAGTGGTATAATATTGAAATTAGCACATATTCACAAGCAAAGTAATAAAGAATCTGGAAGTAATTTTATTAAAATTTGCAAAAAATCTGCTTTTATAACATTTTTTCGAAACCGTGTATTGCTAAAAACTTTTTTGTGCTAAATAAAATAATACCTATTCAAGCTACTATATACGTGAGATCTGTTTTTTTCAGAGCCCCAATAACTTTGCTGGAAAGTCATATACAGTTACACCAGATAAGTGAAAAAAAAAATTTAGCAGAGAAAGTTCGACAATACGACAGTCAAAGTTAATTCGCACAAGGAAAACGACTTTTCTCAAAAACCCAACCCCATCGACATTCAGCTTCAGAAAAGCCTTGGCCATCACTCAAAAAAAAAAAAAAAAAAACAGTAAAAAATGTATACTCACTAAAGTCCGCGGGGTTGTAGTGCTTGGGACACTCGATGCCCAAATGCCGGAGGAAAGGCACGACGTCGGCCACGGGGCCACGGTAAGCGCACTGGCCCGCCGCCACTACGTAGACGTTGTGGAATTTGGCGAATATACTGGCGCTCGGCGTGTGAATCGAGCAGATGACCGTGCGGCCGTTGAGCGCCACCCGTTGCAGCAGGTCGATGCACTGCACCGACGACATCTCGTCCAGGCCGCTGAAACAGATTTTTACATCCCTTGTGTACCTATTGTACGTGATTTAAATCCCCTTTCGCGTTTTATCTCTTTACGCGGGTGGTACACGAGGCACGGAGATTTTTCGTTGCCTCACGCGTGATGGTGCTACGTATTTGGCAATTTTGCGGTTCACGAAAATTCGTGGGCCGTGTGTACTTACGTCGTCGGCTCGTCGAGGAATATCGCCGGAGGGTTGTTGACGAGTTCCAGAGCTATGGAGAGCCTCTTTCTTTCGCCACCGGATAATCGCTCTGTGGTCGTGTCCCTCGCGTTGCTTAGCCTCAATGTTTCCAGGATTTCGCTTATCTGGGAAATTTTTGTTTTGCAACGTTATGTTTCTTTCCTCACTTTTCATATTCATAATGATTGGAGTTTGAAATGGTAAAAATTGCATCGGATTGCGAGAAGCAGCGGTAGACGTACAATGAAATATAATTCGTTTTTTTTCAATAAGTGTTATAAATGCATCTTAATTTATTTTTTTTACATAACTTATTATTTAAATTATGAATAATAATATGTATTATTATACCATTATGATTACATAGTGTGCAATTAAAAAAAAAAAATAAATAAATGGCATACGTAATTTACATTAGAATGAAAATTATTACTTGTAATTGAAGTATTTCTCATGAATTAATGTGGTAGTGGAAAAGTAAGTAATAATTTTTGGAGTACAAGTAATTGAAGATGTAATTATTCAGTTTAAATGTAAGTGATTATGATACCTTGATTATGCTATTTGCTGTTTTTTTGCAACAATTAAAAATGTATAACCAGGTAACTTAAATGCATCATTTTAAACAACAAAGGAACTTAAAAGCATACATGAAAATAGGGCCATATAAATAAAACTGTCAACAAAAATATGGAGATAAAGTTTTGTAAGATAAAATTTAAAAAAAAAACAGATTTTTATCGATATAAGAATATCGTCGAACGTTGACTCGAACTCAAATATATAAATACACTTTCTACAGTTATAATTATTTTATGGGAAGCTTAATATGTACGTAAAATTTTCGTTCAAGATGTTTACTGTCAACAAAACGAGCAAAAAAGAGTACTTATACACTAGATTTAAGATAATAACTTTTGTCACATTATATATATATAGCTATAGTCGAGGAAACATTGTAAAATTTCAACAAGTTGCTAGAGCAAGAAATTAACAACTTTTTACTATCCTATTTTAATACAAAAATAAATACTAAAATGCACTTTACTGGTAATTAAAATTAAATCTACTTAAAAAATTTTTTTTCGAATTAAAATAACTTCAAACTACGATCATGTTTGGCTGAATAATAAAAATTAAATTTCAGCCACGATTAAAAATAACAAAGTCAATTTAATTTCAATTTTCCAAAAAAATTATTTATATAAGAAAATAATGACTTGAAGTACTTGAGATTTGATTCAATCAGTAGCATTTAATTGAAATATTATTGTAATGATATCACTTAAGGATCAGTCTATTTTCCAACGATTTTAATTTTCAATTTGATTACTTAATCACAGGATGGTTTAGGAAAATTTATTTTGACCTTTTTCTATAAAACAAAAGTGATCCAAAGACATTTAATTTTAATAAAATATGCAAAAAAAAGTCAAATAAAAAGTAACCTGAAAAAAACTAATGCAAATTAATAACTGTCCGTTTGTAACCAAAGGGCCAAAAACGCATCATCCTCTCGATCTCACCATCTCCCCAACAGGACAGCGCAATCACGAAAACGTAGTTGCAAAACATCGCACAAAAAGTATGCAATACCTACTCCCGTGGCACTGCTACGTTGCTCGTCCCAATAAAATTACAAGCCGCATCCCTACGTAATTCCTCTCGAAACACAGTTGCCGTATACAGTTGTCGTAATACACGCGGCAATTCTCTTCCCCGCGGCACTTGTATACGCCCACAACTATAACTCGCCAGGAATTTTAATTATCGCATCGCACAAACACATATAAGTGTACGTGTATCGTGCAATAGAAAGATGATGCACCCGACTCGCTTTTCAAAAGCAAAATCCATCGCCGCACTCAATGATATTTAGGTGCACGCGCGCGTGCAATGTTTTTTTGTTTAGAGATTCGGTGAATGCACGATCATAAAACAAAAAAGGACAAAGATTGCTTGCGTCTCTGAAATACACTACCACCTAGTTATGTACTTGAAATATGAGCTGTCGTCCGTCCGATTAAGTATACGCGAGAATTCGATGAAAACAGAGTGTTTCGTAGCTAATAGAGTGAATGACGTTTTCAATGCAAGCGCCGAGGTCAAGTTCAGGCTCTTGCCGATAAAGTCAAGGACCGTCGAGTTGTTTGCCAATGTCGTTTGGATTGCGTCGATTATTGCTCGCCGACGCGACTAATCGGCACTGCAATTATTATTATTATCATTATCTATAGTCAATCGTGAGTAAGATAGAAAATTGAGCAAGGATTTTTCCGTCTCTTCGGCGGATTCCGAGAGCTGATCGATCGGGAGAAAGCGCCGGTTGGAGAATAACGCGGTCGGGTCGCCTTTGGTTCATCGGGAAGATGAGCAACAGAGTGCAACTATTTGCTAAAAAAAATAATAATTAAAATAAAACCCAAAAAAAAAAAAACACAAAAATGACGGTGGTAGTATCATGTTGTCTACGGAATAATTACCACCTAAATGGATGAAAAGTTGCCAAGTTACACAAATTCCTACGTTTCATATTCACACAAAAATATTGTGTGGCTGTTTTTTTTAAATAATATATGAGAGCGTAATAAGTGCAAAATGCGTGTGTCTGATCAATTTCCAGCTGTTTGTATTTTTACAAACAAATATTTTGTCCAAAGATTTCTTATAAATATCTTCTATAGGCGGTGAATGTCTACCTGACAAACATTTTTAATGGCAAAAGTACCAAAGACGTCTTTCAGGTTGATATTTGACTATGTGCTGGGTTAGCTGATATCAACAAATGTACTTGAGAAACAATTAAAATCACTGTACTGAAGATAAAATTATCGTTAGAACAGTAAAAAATCTACAGTAGATAAAAAGCCTTTGGCTCAGTAACTTTTATGATTTTTTTTTTTTTGTTTTTTCCTATACAAACACAGTAAATGTGAATGATTTTAAACGAAAAGTTGAGTTGAGTATACACCAAGCACATGGAGAAATCAAACGTCATGTGAGTAATTTTTTCTAGATTATTCATGTAACATGGGGCTTAATTTAGTGTACATGACAGTATAGTACCTACGGGGACTCATGCCAAAAAGGTAGTTGTTCTACAAACTAAAAGTTTTTTCGTTCATAAATGATTTTGGATAATTTTTTAAATTGAAAATAATTCTGACTTTTTGTCTGAATTTTTTGTTTAGAATTGCAACTTGCACCCATAAATTACCCACATTACGATGAATTGCTAAATATCCACTAGCTATAACGTAGATATCATGAATTGCTCGTTAGGAAGACAAATGTGTTTTTGAAAATAGGCTGTCTCAGGAGACATTGATCCTCGATAATCAGTCTCAGTTAATCCCTGCATTCCTCATTTTTGCTTTCTTAGGGAAAAACTGACAGCATCGTTTAAGTAGGTAGTAATTGCATTTTATTATTGCTATTGTTGATTTAATTAAAATTGTTAAATAAATAAATAACTGCAATGGAGACTCATGTCAGATGTTATCTATGAATTTATTAATTTAAAAAAAAAACAGATTTTTATCGATATAAGAATATCGTCGAACGTTGACTCGAACTCAAATATATAAATACACTTTCTACAGTTATAATTATTTTATGGGAAGCTTAATATGTACGTAAAATTTTCGTTCAAGATGTTTACTGTCAACAAAACGAGCAAAAAAGAGTACTTATACACTAGATTTAAGATAATAACTTTTGTCACATTATATATATATAGCTATAGTCGAGGAAACATTGTAAAATTTCAACAAGTTGCTAGAGCAAGAAATTAACAACTTTTTACTATCCTATTTTAATACAAAAATAAATACTAAAATGCACTTTACTGGTAATTAAAATTAAATCTACTTAAAAAATTTTTTTTCGATCAACTTTTGAAACTTTACTATCTTATTTCTTACAATGTTATCATTTCACTTTATTTTTTTTTCTGTTTAATTAAAGAAAGTAACCGTGTATGTATGAAAAAAAAAAAATTAGCGATAACTGCTAGTTAGACCAACCTGCGCCGGAATGCTGGAAACTGTGAGAGCACAGAAATACGGACTCAAGTCGTACCAGCGATTGAAGTACTCGCGCTTGACTAGCTGAACCTCCTGGGGATCTGTAATAAATCGGTATAAACAATGTGCAAGGAACGTCGAAGTGCGTAGTGATCCAGTGATACAAAGAATTTTTACTAGTCGAAATCGTATCAATAGCTAATAAGGACCATTACCAGGACAAATATTAAACAGTTATATGTAAAATAAAACTAAAGTCATCGGTAACAGTGAAATGCAGTTTTTGAAATTAATACGTTATTTTTTATGACAATTTTAATTTAAAATTAACTTGTTTTGATTTCGTGCCATTAATTAAACTTTTTAAACCAACTTATAAAATTATTTCAACCCAAAATATTAATTTTTTCTCTGCAGAAATGAAAAGTAAATAATAAACAATAGGTTTTACTTTACAACTTTATGCGAGTCTCATTTTACACGAATTAAAAAGAAAGAAACGTATATTTTGAGCCATTAACTCGGTGCTTGTTTTATGAATTCAAAAAACTAAGCATACACTCCAATACGTGGTACACTTCAATTAAACTCTGCCGATTTCCTCGAAAACCATATACTGTGAATGCATGGATGGCACGAATATAGTATTTTGATAAACCTATGTAGGTGTATTATATGCAAAAAAAGAAAAAAAAAACTCACAGTGTAACAAAACGGGCAGCATCGGTATGTAGAGAAAGACGATGNAAAAAAAAAAAAAAAAAAAAAAAAAAAAAAAAAAAAAAAGGAAGCGACAAAGAGTAAGAGAGAGGGAGGGTATTTAGGGCGACTGTGAGCCAAGACTTACAACTTCCAGTCTGGCGGCGGGTGCGACTTTGTTGCCGAGCTTGAGATCAGCCGCGAAACGCATGGCCTCGAGAACCGTGAGCTTCGGCTGGACGAGGTCCTCTTGCATGATGTAGCAGGACTTGCGCCGGAAGTCCCGGAGATCGCGGGGCTGGCCGTTCACTGTTATTATGCCCGCGGCTCCCTCGTATCTGTAAGTGTGTTGATTAATAATTTTAATTTGATGCACATCACTTGGACTTTTTTTTTTTTTTTTTTTTTTTTGGAACTATGTTTTGTGGAACAAAAAATCGACAAGAATTGCCGAAATTCTCATGTATTGAAATATTTACGCTATGCAGTTGAAGTGAAGTTTGTAAATGTATTCATTGAGTGCCTTTTTTCTTTATAACTTATAGATGTAGACATCCTTGTGCACAAGAATTATTTAAGTTTTTTAAGAAATGCAATTATTTGTTAGAAGTGTAGGGCATCATTGGTACTAAGAAATATAATTTTTTAATGACTACTTACAACACAGTACTTAGTCAAATTGTTTTTAGCAAATGTAATGCATAACAATTTAAAAGGAAAAGAATTTGGAAAAAAAAGTTTTCAATTATTTAAATATTTGCATTCAAATGGACTTTACTACAACTTTTAGTATTTAAAATTTGTTTCACGTATCTGCCAGAGCAAAATTACTTCTTGGTATAATACTGCAAAATATTGATGAAGGAAAAAGTTTTCTGCAACAAATAATGCACTTATTCAAAATAAAAAAAATTTTTTATCTAAAGTGCTTAAAAATCAACGAAATAATAAATTTTGCTCACGCCTGGTTGTAGAAAAGGTTAATAGAAAAAAAAAAAAAAAAAAATTGAAAGACCTATTAATTTTTCACCGTCTTCTTGAATTTATAGATTTTTACCTTATAGTATGTATTCTCATTATAAAAATCGAAAAAACAACTTTTAACTCACAAGATAATATTTTATTCATTTATTTAAATCACAAAAATAGTGTAGATACTTTTTAATCTATTGGTACTCGAATCGTTTCGCCATCTATCTATTAGCTGATTAATTACTTATAGTTAATAATCGATTTTCTACAGAAAAAATGATTGATGAGAAAAACCGAATATAATCATCAAATTATGATCCTCGAGTCAAAACATTGTATGATGGAAAAAAAACCGATATACTTATGTGTGTAGTTTTAAAGCAAAAGCATATGCATTAAAACACTAATTAGAAAAAGCATGATTTTTCAACTACGCACTCAGTGATTGAAACATGCTCGCATTCTTGTGACTTGAAGTAGTACGAACATCTAAAGCGTACAGTTATTTAAATATTTTCTAATGCGCACATCATGAAAATACACGTGCATTCGTTAATACCAAAAAAATCCTCGATACAGAGTGAGCGCAAAAGGGTCTTCCGGGGCATGTATACATAGTCGTTTGTCGAGGTCATTCTGCTAATCAACAAGTTGGTATACCGTACGAAAGAAAGAAGGCACCAGAGTGAGCCAGCGATGAGAAAGAGCAGTACCATCGTGACTAGTCAAATTCTTTGTTTTTTTTTTTTTTTTTTGCAAAGTTGATAATTTGCCACTTCTGCGTACCATGACTGCGCGGGTGCGATTACGGCATTTATTCCTTTAGTTGCGTTATAGGCGTGTATATTCTAGACGTAACAACTAATATGATGGACTTTGATCGATTCCGCAAACCGCAGTACAAGTACATATTACATAGCCGTGAGAATTCAGCGTGTCACTCTAGTTTGTACCGGCTTGTACAGACTTGGGCGCGGACGCTTTTTCAATTTTTTTTCATCGTTCAAAACAACGTTTTCTTTTCAATTGCTGAAAAATTTATAATATATTTGTCCCCGAGTCGGAATTTGTATTAGATACATATATATGCATAAACTTTCGAGACGGTGATATGTCCGTTAGTTATAGAATAAGTGTGCTCAATCTGTAGTACTTCATGGAAGAGTAAAAATAACGTCAAGTATAATTGGAATTTGGTGATGATTTGCATTTTAAACTTGAGAATGAAATCTTTTATGAAAATTACGAACGAAACAACACCCCATTTTGTAATGCTATAAATCTGATATAAAAACTGATAGCAAGTTTTGCACTCTTCACGAAAATCTCTATGGAGCTTCCTTTGCATAAAAAAAATTCAAATAATCGGTCATCGACATCATAATTTTTATTTTTTTTTCTTTTTTTCTTAAAGATACCCGAGGAGGTCACAATGTGCGCAGCGAAGCCATAGTAAAGTTCAAGGTATTATTACACACTTAGACTACAGCAAAAAAAATAAAATCAAATAACGTATGAGTGAAAATTCGAATCTTTCTTTTAATAATATTAAATAAAGAGGTTGAGCATGTACACGCGTCCCGTAGAACATATGAAGTACACGTATACCAACGAAAACGTAAGTATACGTATTATGTGCATGAATAACTCAGTGCATAATATACAGATTGCTTTCCCTGTCAATACGAGTGACCTAATTGTATCGGTCTTCGTTTTTACGCTCGTCTTTCAACTCGTAACTGTGTAACTACACGTAACGTGATTGATAGGATGTAACGTGTACGTGTATGTATGTACGTACGTATAAGAAAATAACAACGCGTACAATTATCATGAAGCATCGGTATACGTAACTCCTGATATAACCGATAAAGCTTATCTTCTCACGCACGAGTTTTGTGTTTTTATACCTACACGTATTGTGAGTATTTTTAAAAACAATGAGTAGGAATGCACACGGTATGTATGGACATATGTATGTCATGTTCGGAGGGATGGGGGAAAGCGGCATATCGATCCTCTCTGACGTGGGTCTTGTGCTCGATTGTTTCCCTAATAATTTATTGCAACTTTCCAACAGCTAATTTTAGAAAAATGAAGCATCTGTACATTTGAACTGTTTTTTCTTTTGTAAGATGTCCTATAGTAAAAGAATAACTTATTTAAATAGTTTTTTGATTTTTTTTAATAACTCACTTCAACCATTGCTTATGAGAATAAAACAATTATTTTTCACTACGATCATCCGACTTCCATTCGTTTACTACTTTAAACAATTTAAAAAAAACAGCTCCAAGTATCGTATGGTACAGAAACTACGATAATAAGTTTTAGTAACTTCCACGAAAATAAAACGAGCGGTTTTGGGTTTTCCCATGGGCTTTAAAACCTCACTCTAGGTTTCCTAGCAGTCAGAGCCGATTTCAAATCAATTCCAAAATTTTTTTATTAGTCCCAAAAGTCACGGACTTGAGAGCAACTTTTTAAATTATTTTGTAAACCAAAAGTGATATCGAAACAGGTTAGACGACCCCGGTACGTCATCGGCCAGTTGAAGGCACAAAAAATCAGGACTAACCGTCGGTTCACCGTCATGCTTCTCTCTAGCAATCTTTATTTTGTCTTCAAGGCAACTGCTTCGAATACATATATTCAGAAGCTGCATTTAATATATAATGGAGTCATCAGTCAAAGTTTTTTTGCAATTAATTCTTTTAAAAACATCTTGTTTTAAATATTCAATGATTATATTATTCGAAAGGTTTTACATCCAAGACAAAAACCAAACACTTGAATATGAAGTTTATTTATAAAAAATGCATTTAAATCTTTGAATAACATATACTCCTCGCACGTATATGATCACTTGAAAACATTTAAGCTAATATCGCGTAATTTCGTATAAAAATCAATACCAAAATGCTGCCTCAAAGTATGAAAAATGTGGCAAATTGTTTCTTCTTTTGAAAAATATATAAAAAAGCTTATGAGGAGCCCTCCTTTTTCTAGATATGCAGGAGTTATTGTACGACCAAACAAAAGTGCCATTTTAAAAATGTACTAAGGTTCTCGATTCCTACCGTATATTTAATGTAAATACACGCAGGTGGTGATCAACTCACTTGTATCCAGCCAGAACGTTGAGCAGAGTCGATTTGCCAGCTCCGGAGGGCCCGAGTATGGCAGTGAGCTCTCCAGCCCTGAATTGCCCGCTCACACCCCTCAGGATCATTTTCGAACCTGTAACAAAAAATTCCTGTGAGATGAAGGGGTTGATTTTTCTGATCAAGTGCAGTTTGCAGTTGTATCAAATAACGTTGAATAACGGGATATAGGTGCAAGATAAGAATAGAAACAAGTTCCATGTATATAACGTGTGCTCTGAGGGGCACTGGAGGCGACTTCGCGAGTGACGAATGATAATTACAGTCGTGACTCGCCTTTGGTTCTGGATGGTGTTTGTTTGATTGTAATTATCACACGAGATGTGCTTTCGGGATCGTCAAATGCTCGTTACACGTGTGAAAGAAATATTATCGGTACGACGGTTATGTGCATTGCTTTTTTTGTCATAGATGGGTACAGTACTTGAGAACTTTCTCAAACACTTTGGCCTATGTATCATAATTAAATAATTTGGCCATTTAATTAAGTTACTTAAATACACCAGTGGAATAAAATATTCTAATTATTATTGTTATTGAATCAATACAGTAAATAAAATATATGATAAATTCAAAACAAAAAAAGTTTTTTTATGAAGTAACTCAAAATTTTTTTTATTTAATATTTTGTACATTTTGTTTTAAATTAAAAATTTCAGTCAAAAATAACTCATCTACAATATTTGAAAAAAAAATTTGAATTTGATGCAGTTAATTATTTGAATTATACTATTAAACACATTTGTGTTTTAATTAAGTACTTTGTAATTTAGTTCACTTGAATACTTTGATGAATTACAAAAGTAGTCGATAATTTACTTTTATAATTTTGATCAAAAATAAAGAAATTAATAACATATCTCAACAACTTCAACCAAACATAAAATTAATTGATACCTTATTTCAATTACTT